GTGAGCAGGTATCCAGTTAAGAGTTATTGTGGACGAGGGGAGGTTTGCAGGCAGCAGGGTGAGAAAGGATGTTTATTTGAGGACCCCCACACGCAAGGCTTCTCAGAAGCCTAGCAGAGGCATTCCCATGTCTTACAGAACACAGAGTCATCCACTGCACTCACAGGAATGCCATTTAACTTTGCCTTTCTCTAACCCAGGTGCCACTGCTAATAAAGGCCACAGCCTTGGAATCAGGATGAAATTTGTAATGTGGTGTGTACTTGATCTCTAGATGCTATTCCTAGATTGACAGAAGGTGTTTGCAGCTTGTGAGTTATCCTAGTGGTGTTTGACATATGTTCTAACTTTCTTTCAGGTGCAGATGCATTGCATCCATGGCAGAGGGTCAGAGTTAGCAGGTGCCGGGCCTTCCTAGGAGCAGGGTGAGTAGCAGACTGGTGGGGTTTTGGGTGATGCGGTGCCAAGATCACGCACTGATGTTTGGTTTTCTTTAATACAGCTGTCTGAGAGACACCAGCCCAGTGCCAGCAGGACATTCCCAGCTGACGAGGTGGCCTTTCTTTGTACCTGAGACCAGCATCCCCAGATGTCTGAGAGATAAGTAGAGGGCTACGACCCACAGAGGGGATGAAAGCAGGGTGCTGGTGTGGGAATTACTGGGAGGGGTTTTTGAGTCCGCTTTGGAGGTGGGGGGTGTTCATGAAGTGGCCCCTTAGGCCCCATAAAAGCAAAGTCTTACTTTTGATCACAGTGCTGAGGTGTGCAGCTGGGCAGAGCAGCTCCGGTGTGTATCGTGTCACTTGTCTATCGTTCATTATGTGTTGTTTGGGTATCTCATGTATTTTACCTTATCCCTTTGAGAGGCCTGTCAGAAACCTTGGCACCATTCTTAGCATCCATGATCTCAGCATTCCTTGCCCTGGCACTCATGCCATGGAACTTTTGACTGGGGAGCTCAGGCAGGCATCAGAAATGCCTCTCTCTTTGGAAGCATCCTGTCAGATGTCTTGTCAGGTCTTGTTCTGAGCTGTACGGACAGCTATGCCCCGCCAGGATCCATTATGGCTGATAAGGACTTGTAAGAATGCGAGGTTAGGGAGAGGATTCTGACTGTAGGATTTCTAGGCATCCATCTTTGCTCTTCTTGGAATAAATCATTCAGTTAAGCATTGTCTTCCTCCAGGGTTCTCTGAGCCTCATCAGCTCCCCATTGGTTTCACCTTGGTTATCTCCTTTTGCATCCTCTCAGTCCTTGCAGCCATTTTCCTTGCCAAGAGATTTCTGTCTGTGTTGTGTCCCCATTGTCTGTCCCGTCCTGTCCTGTGTCACGGGTGTCAGCACACATTTGCGCCAGAGCTGCTCTGCCCTGCTGCATAGCCTGGTGCAATAGGAGGTGTCTCGTGGGCTTGGAATTTGTAATGTGGGGTGTAGTAGTTGGACTCTAGATGGGATTTGTAGATGGATACAGGATATCTAGAGCCCATAAGTTATCCTGCAGCCCTTTGACTTTCATCCTAACTTTCTTTTAGTTGTAGAAGGATAAAATCCAGTGCAGAGCCACCCATCCTGGGTGAGAGGATTCCTCCGTGCATGTCAGTCACTGTTTGTCTCTGCAGAGGAAGCATAAATGGTGGCTGCTACAGCTCTGCTCTTTGTCTTTATTTTTAGGAAGTCAAGGCGGAGAGCAGCTGTCAAGGCTGAGTGGGCAAGGTGAGCATTGAGTAGGGTACCAAAGCAGTTGTTATTGCTGAGGTCTCAGTTTTTGGTGCAGCTCTAAGTATGTAGTATTCTTTTTATTTTAGATGGTCCGCTTGCCACCTATCCTAGCCCAGCATGCCCATGCCAGGTGGGTTCAAGCTTAAGGTATTGGTGTGGCACATTTGTCAGGGTTGGGAGGTTGCGTTTTCACAGTATCTCAGAATGCTTTTCTGCTTTGTTTCTTTGCAGGTGCTGTCCCTGCCGTAGGTATGCCAAGGAACAGGGGAGGGCCGGTGAGTTGGTGTTTAGGCAGGCTGACTCATAGGCGAGCGTTATGCAGCAGCATGCTAAGCATGTCCCTTTTCTTTTTGCAGGTACCTTCTGGGCAGCCTCCGGAGTCAAATCAAGACTTGAGGTGAGCTGGGGCAGGGGTGCAGAGGAGTCCCGGGGATTACTCTTTTGGAGGGCAATAGTCACGTTTTCTGTTTTGCCTTAGGTACCCTGGGGAGGCTTGTAGCCACACCTTGGAAGCGGCAGCACCGAAGAGCACACATTGAGAACATCTCAATGTCCGCGTCCAACCGACGATGGCTTTTGTCCGCTTGTCTTCCAAAAGCTAAGTGTCAGGGCCAGTGGTTGGGAGAAGGGGAAAAGCCTTTACTATCACAGGAGGCAATCTGATGTCAGCTTAGCGGAGAGGTCTGTAGTGGGAAGGGCTCTCTGGAAGTAAAGGGAGAGGGTTTCTCCTCAGCCTCACCAGAGCCTTTGCTGGGCAGGACAGTTCCGACCCATGTCCACATTCTTGTGAACTTTGCGTCGTCAGCCTTCCTCAACTCGATGTCGTCACGGCTCTTTCCCCTGAGGAACTCGCCTTCAGGTCTGGAGCTATGGCCACGGTCACCCGGCCATCCGCTTCCTTCTCTAGGCTTGCTGAGCCTCTTGAGCATCCTCCTAACTGCTTTGGCCCTAACTTCTTTTAATGAGCTACATTTCATCATCACGTGCTGTCGTCATAGGGCTTTCTTTCCTTTGGCCTCATCGGCCTCTGGCTCGTCTTGCGCTAGGACTCTCGGGTCCCTACGGGGAAAGTGCCTAGCAGTTGCAACTTGTCTCTGGGTTATGTCATCTGTGTCTATGTTATGGTGTCCCTGTCTGTGGTATGTAGTCTGTGTCCATTGTCTTCCACGTCATAGGCCTTTGTTACATCTCGATGCTTTATCGGCACTCTTCTGTGCCATATAGGCCGTGTTCTACTCACATTCCTTTCCGGATATCTCTTATTCCGGCATCTTTACATTTTTACTCTTTGAGACAGGAATGTCTCACAGGGACAAGATGTTCTCATCCATCTTCCTTCTCACTACCCGCTTTGGTAGTGCCTTTTTTCCATTTTCTTGGACTTCTAGAGGGTGCGTCTTACACCCTTCTCATGTGACTGCAGTAGTTCTATAGATTCCATCTTCTCAAAGGGTATAGGGCTCAAGAATTCATCTTCCAGAGAGTTATCTCCAGTCCTGGCTTGTATAGTATGTACCTATATTGTGTGTACCTATATTGACCTATGTATGTACTCACATTGTATGTACCTACGCTGGCTTGTACTGTATGTACTTACATTGTATGTACCTATGTTGGCTTATACTGTGTGTACTTACACTGTATGTAAGCGCGTTGCCCTATATTATGTGTATTTACGCTCTGTGTATACTTGCACTGTATGCATCAGCTTATATTGTGTGTACTTACATTGTACCACTTATGATCAGAGCTGCCCTGCCCTGGTATGTAGTCACAGTTAGGTAGAACAGTTATAGAAGTTTTACTGTTCAACTGTCTTCTATGGGATTTTGGGTAGAAAACTTATCAGTCCAGATTGGGGACAAGTCCCAGCTGTCAGATAGCTGCTCATTGACCCTTCCTGTCATCTCACAGGTCCCCGACCCTGCTGACTTCCCCAGGATCTGCCATTTATGTCAAGGAGTGGCAGCAAGAAGATGTGTCAAAGCACGTTCTTCAGCGTCTCAGGTAAGGGCTGCAGTGAGCGTGTAAGTGGAAAGAATGTGTGAGCGTGTGTGAGAGCACGTGGCTGTGTCTGTCTGTGTCTGCTCGTCTCTGCATGTGTGAGCACATGCTGACTGGATTTAACCTTGTGTATATGACTTTTGCTTTTCAGGTTTTGCAACTCATTGTTAAATTTAGAATAAAAAATCCCCAGCTGCCTTCCCCCCCCCACCCCGGCTGCTTTTCTTTTTTCTTGGTCCTGGTTGGGTGAAAACCCAGAAAAAAACCCCAAGATAGGCTAGAAAAGACCCAAAAAAACCCAGTAAAAAAACCCAAGATGGGCAAAAAAACCCAGAAAAAGCCCCAAGATGGGCAACAAAAAACCCCCACAAAAACCCAGGAAAAAAAACTCAAGATGGGCAAGAAAAAAATCAGAACAATCCCAGGAAAAAGCCTCTAAGTTGGCAAGAGAAAACCCAGAAAAAAGACCTAAAAAACCCCAAGATGGGCAAGAAAAATCCAGAAAAAATCCAGAAAAAAACCCCCGAGAGGGGCAAGAAAAAATCCCAGAAAAAAAACCCAAGAGGGGCAAGAAAAAATCCCAGAAAAAAAAAACCAAGATGGGCAAGAGAAAATCAACAAAAAGCGCGACTGTCGTAAAAGGTGCCAAAAAGCGCGAATGTCGTAAAAATAAAAACAGGGTAAGTGTTGGGAGTTTCGCTGGCTAAGGTCTGGAAAAGTACATAACCGTGGCTAATTACAAGTCCTGCACCTGTGTAGATAGCGTGTCCTTGAGGCCTAGCTGTAGTATAATAACAAACAGTGAGAGAGACATGAGAAAAGAGAGATGTAACCCCTAATGAAGGTGGAAGAGTTCTTGGTATAGTTTAACCAATAGATTGCTTGGCTTACAGAATATTCATAAGCTTATTATTTGCCATATAAGTGTTTGATACTTTCTGAAATGAAGTGGACCTGAAGGACCGGAACCGGACCGGACCTGAGGGCCTGTGATGAAACGTATGGTGACCTGGTCACCTTCCATTGACATGCCGTAAAGCGCGACTGTCGTAAATACTGCTGTAAAGCGCGACTGTCATAAATACCAGCACGACTTGGCACTGGTGCCACCTTGGGTCTGGGAAACATACAGCGACACGTGCATTTACAGGAGATAGCTGGCCACTCCCAGCCACAGGCCCCCAAACACAAACCACGGCCCCTTTCCCTAGCAAACAAAACTCACCTGCCACGCTTCAGGATGGCAGATTGCAGGAGCCACGAGGTGCTATCAAACCAGCGCGACTTGGCACTGGTGCCATCCTGGGTTTGGGCAACATCCTGCGTATCGTGGATTTTCAGGAGCCAGACGACCAATCCCAGCCACAGGCCCCCAAACACAAACCACGGCCCTTTTCCCTGCTAAACAAAACTGACCTGCCCCGCTTCTGGCTGGCAGAGTGCAGGAGACACAGGGTGCTATCAAACCAGCCCGACTTTGCACTGGTGCCCCATTGGGTCTGGGAACCATCCTGCGTATCGTGGATTTTCAGGAGCCAGCCGGCCACTCCCAGCCNTGGCTTCGCAGGTCCGTGCTGGAGAGTGGGAGAAAGGGCCCTGCTGGTTGCCGTGTCCTCGGTGGGCAGAGAGCTCTGACCTTGGCTGCATGGGCTGGTGAGTATTGGAACAATGGGGATGTGCTTTTATGTATTTAGTGACATTTACAGATTTATCCCCTTCCTTCAGGTGAGCGTGCATCATTGCAGGCTTGGAATTGAGTGAAATGCGGTAGGGAAACCGGCTCTGGGGAGGGAGGGAGGGAGGGAAATCCTATCCTAACATTTACCAGTTCTTCTGTCAAACTCATCACGATAGGACAGCGTGAAGACTGAAAGTGTAAGAAGATGTGGAGGGAAACAGAGAATCTGACAGGAGCATTGAATGCACGAGTGCACGAATTTTGCTTTTGTCTTGGATTTAAACTCAGAAGTTGTAAGGAATTTGGGAATGAGAAGGGGCGTTTCAGAAGGAGAAGAAGGAGTTGTTGTTACAGTCCTGGCAAAATCTTTTGTTCTAACTAATAAAATAAGTTAGTTTAAATTAAAAAAAATTTAAAATGTGGGGTTTTTTTCATTCACTATTATATTCATTGGTGGTATATGGTGTGTGTTGTTTTATTTCTTGGTATTATTAACTCTGTGTAAGTTGTTTTTTGAGTGAAGCTAACTTTCTGGATGGGTTGGTTTGTATTTGAGGTAGGATTAATTTCAAGAGGTTTCTTTCATAGACTTCTCATAGGTATTACTGGGATTTTGGTATTGTTTACTGTATGTATAAACATACAGATTTGGTAGGACCAGTTGGGCTGCTGGAGTTTTGGGTGTGAATTTATTAGATGGCTTTTGTTAAATGCAGAATAATTATGTAAGTTAACAGCAAATGACCCAATTTATCCAGTTATGCTACCTAACCACAAAGTTTTATGTCTTACCAGTTTTCTGTTCTTCTGCTCCAAGTAGTTGTTGCAAAAAAGAAAGCGCTGTTATTTTTCTGAAGAGTTTTCTTCTATAACAAGCCCTTTACTCCCCTTGAATCTGAGTCAGAGAGGCCAAAGAGCTGCAGCTGCTCTGAGGGCTTTTATACCTGGTGGGGTTTGCCCCCTCCCGTTTCCTGGGTGCCATGGGAATGAGAGGCGGGCACAATCAGGGGTATATTAACCCCAGCCTTGGCTGTGGGGCTTCATTCCCTCTCTGGGATGTGCTGGGGTAAGAGCTCTCCTCTCATTTTAGTGAAGAGGCTCTTTCAGCTTATCTCAGCTTGTTTCCAGCAGGTGTTTCTGGGCATCTGAAGCAACAGAGGCTTTGAAGAGACTACGAAGAAAACAGCATGGAATACAGGGAGTATTTAGGTTCACAATTTT